GCTATGTTACTCTATAATAAAGTTACTGGTTTTCACTTTGTAACTGGTAAATTCCCTTGGGAGCGATACATTGAAACAATGCAAATAAAGTATTTCTCTTCAAACTTTTGTCCATTGGTGGACCACAATGATTACTGTGGTGGCTGCCTTGTGTTGATTTTGTGTTTCTCACATTCCCTCTACATTTAATAACTGGAATTTGCGACCTTCCGTTGGCATATCAACTGTATTCCAAAAGGCTGTAAAACAAACCAGTCCCAATAGGACAAATTTGTGCAGAAATTCCAAAGCCTTCCAAGTATAAATAGTTCCTCAGTTTGTTATTTCCAGGCTTCTACAGTAAGGAGCTCTGGTAGTGTAGTGGTTATGAATCAGGCTGCTAACCTCAAGGTCGGCAGTTCAAAACTACCAGCTGTTCCACGGAAGAAAGATGAGGCTTTCTGCTTCCTGTAAAGTTTTGCAGCCTCGGAAACCCTGTGCAGGGTCACTATGAGTCGGAACCGACTCCCCAGTACTTAACAACAACAGTAACCATAGCATCCCATCTCTATCCAATGAGGTTTCTCTGACGCATTCTGCTTTCATGCGCTTTTCTCCTTTCCATCTCCACGGTCACTCCTTCTCGGTGAGCATTCTTTATTGATTCCTCTTCCTCTGTCTCATGTATGTTCACACTTCTCAGGGATTTATTCCTTATCCCAGTACACTCTTGTCACCCTACACACATCTTGGGAGACAGCAATTAAATTATCTCCAAAATATCAGTGAATACTTATATCCTTTTTTGACTCAAAAAACCCATCTCTGAACTTATTTTATGCTCTCCCTCAAAAAACAAATGCTATCCTCTTTGTAACCTCTCTTTGTACATACCAGCGAACGAAACCATACTCACCCAGTTCTCTTGGAAGCCCTGGGATTCACTCTAATTTTCTCACTGCCCTGTACCTCCTCACATCCTCACTCCTAAGTACCAACTTGTGGTTGTTGTTGTTAAGTGCTGTCGAATTGATTCTGACTCACTGCGACGAAGGAGCAAGCAGTTGGTGGGTTTGAACTGCCGACCCTGTGGTTCGCAGTGCGGAGCTGATCCTACAAGCGCCACACCAGGAGTCCAAGTACCAACTACTTACCCTCCTAAATGTTTCTCAAGCTATCATCACCTAGTCATGCTAGCCTTTGTTCTCATGTTAATTCATTTCTATAAAAGTCCTAGAATTATCTTTCTAAAATGCAAATGTGGTGAATAACATTCCTCTACCTAACATCTTTCAGTGACTCATTATCATCTACTGAATGAAGTATAAAATTCTTAGCATAGCCATGGTCTAGCACTTGCCTACTCAGACAGTCTCATGTCCTGCTCTCCTGCCCCACAGTCATGTTGTCTCTGCCTAAATAAATTACTTTACTTTCCCCCAAGTGGGACATGTACCCTTGCAAGTCTATGTTTTTGCAAACTAACTCTTGTTAGTTTTACAAGACTAACTCTTACTAGTCTCTTCAAGGCTACGTGTGGATGTCGTATCTTACAGAAAGTCCTCTTCAGTGGTCCATGTTTCCAATAGTGAAGCAGACATTTTCCAGGATCCAACCTACTATCCCACACTGCATCTTGGTGGCAAGTCTCCTTAACTTCCTTCAATCTGTGACAGGTAATCCAGGATGATATTGCCCATAGCATTTAGCTATGGTCAATGTCAGGGTCTGCTTATCATCAGCCATCCCATCCAGACTTGATCGTTCTTGAGGGCAGCTTGGTTCTTCCAGAATCTAGTATGATTTCCAGAACAAGGTGGACACTCAAACCATTTCTTATATATTAATGCCTGTTGTTATGTATTGTTGAGTAGGGTTTCTGAGGTTACAAATCTCAACAGGAGCAGATAGCCTCATCTTTCTCCCATAGAGTGGCTGGTGATTTTAAACTGCTGACCTTGTGGTCTAATTCTTATTCTACAGGGCCACACCAGGACTGCCTCCATTAATGTTTAGTCCTATTTAAAAAGAATGTCTCTGCCTACCTGCCTGCCTATTCCTGAAATACGATTTTAAATGCCTCTGAAGAGATAGCATTTAAAAGTGTTATAAAATGCTACAGCAACAACAAAAGTACACAAGAGGGTTTTCAAAAAGTTTGTGGGAAAATTCCATTATCTTTCAATTCCATTTTTCCATGAACTTTTTGAAGTCCCCTCATATAATTTAATTGACACACCTCTACTAAATTGCGCAGCAATGTTAATTTAATCAATTAATATAAGAAAAGCAATTCAGATAAAATCCTGTTTCTATGGTTCCACATGATAAATAACAACTATGATTTGTGAAACAATGGAGCCCTGTACTCCTAAGTTATTTGCCATGCTAGAAAAGTGCTGCCTGCTCTAATACTCATCCAGATGTCTTAATCTATTCTATGTTTACAGTAACAGCCATTTCTCATTACCTGATGAGCAGTTTAATTTTACTACTATCATAATCATCTGATATCATTTTCTGGCTGACTAGCGTCTACAAGCACTATACTAGATAAAAAGTTTGGAATTGTCTTAAAAGATAAAGCAGCACAATTCTTGTCCTCAAGGGGCATACAAATACATTTTTGAAGTAAAAAAATGTAGAAATGTCCTTTTTCCTCTCAATTCTTTTGAAAAGTCTACATCTGCAATTGAAATACCAATAGAGAAACACAAGAAAAACCACAGAAACTAACATTTTTGCACGTCTACTGGTGTGGCACTGTGGATAAGGCACTGGATGGGCCACAAGGTCAGTTTGAACTACAAGGTTAGCGGTTCAAACTCACCAGCCACTCCTTGGAAACCCTATACAGGATCACTATGAGTCGAAACTGACTCGATGGCACTTAACAACAACAACTATGCTACATATTTAACTGATTATTTCAATTAATCCCCAAGCCAAATCTCTAAAGTAGGGATTATAATCACCACTCAGTAAATAAGAAAAGGAAGGTTCAGAGAATAAAGAACCACCAAAATCATACAGCCAGCCAGAGCCAGGATTTGAGCCAATTAAAAATTGTGAGGTCTTCCCTCTAGCGAACACTGACTGCCTCTCGTACTTTTAAAAGCACAGTAGTGAATGTAAAGCTGATGCTCTCCCATGTAAACTATCACTCAATTCACAATAAAAACTTATTTTAAAAAAAGGCAGCACAAGTACTAGTGGAAAACTCTAAACCCCAAATTAAAGAAAAGGAGACCATTCAACTTGTCACTTATAAAGCAGTATTAGCAAACAATCTGTTTATAAATCCTTGAAGAGGGAGAAGGAGGTATGTGAATAAATGGAAACTAGAGTAGGAAATGATACAATTTGGAATAACAACAGCAATAATCATGAGGACATTAGTGGTAACCAATACGCCTACAGTGCTTACTATGTAGCCGGCACTGTTCTAAGAGCTGCACGTATACGCACTCATGAACTCTCACAGCAACACTTCGAGGCTGGTCCTATCAGCTTCTCTACTTCACAGATGAAAAAGAAAAAAACCAGCAGACAGTTTGAGTACCTTGCCCTAGTAATAAGCGTTGTTTGTTAAGTTCTGACTCATAGCGATCCTGAAATACCAGTTTCCAAGGAGCAGCTGGTGGATCTGAACCACCAATCCTGGGGTTAGCAGTCCAGTGCTTATCCTACAGCACCACACCAGGAACCTAACTAACAACTGTCACTGTTAAGTGCTGTCAAGTCGGTTCCAACTCATAGCGACCCTGTACAGGGTTTCTAACAGTGTGAATCTGTGGAAAGCAGAAAGCCTCAGATCTTTGCCATGGAGTGGCTAGTGGGTTTGAACCATCAACCTAGTGGTTCACAGCCCAGTGTTTATCCTACAAAACCATCATGCTTTAAGTAACAACTAATCAGTGTCAAAACTGGAGACTCAAACTCAGGTGGTCTGGCTTTCAAGTTCAAGTTTTTAACCATTACTCTAAAAATGAACCAGAAGAGGAAAGAAGATGTGGAAACTTATAAGTATGAAAAGGTTAAGTATATTATAACAATTTAGCCTGAGATTGAAAAGAGCGACTTCCTATCAAAAGATAATGAAAAGCTACTTTGTACATCTGCAAGTTAAAGTTAAAGTACATTTCATGGTGAGTTTCGTTAAATAGTAAAATTAGTTATGAAATGTTTCTCTATGGTCTTCAAATATGAGATATACCCAATCTGTCTAAGGGAAATTTAAACTAAGGACCAGTGATTTTACCTATCCTTCTAAAACAGTCCTAACACCCAGTTTAAGATATTTTTAGGGTGCACTTGAATTACAAGTTAATTTCTTTAACATTGAGACTGTACGAACGATAATTATACACATAGAAATGCTACATCATACTCTTTCCCCTTCTTTGGTGTGTATACTTAAGAGGTTCCTTAAAAAGTTCATAGGACTGAGGGTTTTTCTACAGCTACAAATTTCCATTTCTCATAAAAAATTGTATTTCTCATCTCATTTAAGTATATTGCTAACATTTTCTGCAGTCCTTCATTTAAATCATTTAAGCAAACTGTGTACATATATGGCATCATGAAAAAACCAGACCAATATAATCCCACCAGAGAGCTTCGAAAAGATCATGGAAAAACTCCATTATATTTTAATTCCATCATTCCAACAGTCTCCTTTTATTCTAATTGAGACTATAAATTTTTTACATAGTTCTACAGCAATCCCTTTTAAATATTAATACAATTTCAACTATTTTGTCTTTGTTTTCTTATTATTTCTCTTTCAGAGAAATGTATGTGTTATTTCATTCGTAACAGTGAAACAAAAAGTAAGCAATAAACTATTTCCATTTTAGAATTAGAAAACCAAGTTCCCAAAAGTTTCAAATACCGTTCTGGCTATGGTCTGATTCTTATAGTCACAATTATGAGATGAAATAGAAAAATTATATAATAGACAAAATGTCAAAAGAAAAGATACAACGTATCATGCTAACTCTCTCTAAAATATAACTCACCGCAGCTTTCTTCCTTTGCTGGCTTTCCGATCTACCTTCTTGTGGATTTTGCTTCGTAACTTCTGGATTGCAAGCCACTGCCTGTGAAATTCACAAGCAACGTTATGCATCATCACTAACAAAAACAGTTACATTTGTTGACAAATTAGAATTTTTCTCACTCACAACCTGCTGACGGACATCATCAACCTACACCTAGTTCCTCCAAGGTAGTCTGGGGCCAAAGCAACTAATCAACTGAAGAGGATTTGTGCAATCCTGAAAAAACAAATGGCAGCTGGGAAATTCTACAGCAAATTTGGTTAACAATACTCCTTAGTATTTGGAGTTGCTGTGACAAGCACTAAATCTACTAGCCTGCAGGAAAACTCATCAAATTGACTATAACTGTGTGGGTTTTCTTTTAATGTTTTAGCTGGGTAACATGTTCTATTATTAATGCTGTTACTGCTATTTGGTTTGAGAACATATATTCTTTAAATCTAATTTTATCTTTGCTAACATCCAAGTGCTTTTTCTTGTAAGTTTCTAATTTTTGCTAATTTAAAAATAATCATCCACTATTGATACTAGTTTTAAAGTCATTTTATCTGATTTTCATTTCATCTGTAAACATATTTCAGTATGTTGCTGAAAGATAAGGACTCCCTGTTTCCAATGTAACCTCAATACCATTATGACAAAAAATGTTAACAATTTTTCACTATCAAATATTCAGCCAGTCTTTAAATTTCCTAGATTGTTTTAATTTTACAGCTGGTTTGTTTGAACCAGGATCCAAACAAGAGTCACATATTCTATAGCCATTATAGATAAGGAATTAATTTTTCAAATAAAGAATACTAGACTAAGAAAATCTTCATAAACTGCTTATATGAACAAACGTTCAAAAAAGAAAAGAAAAAAGGCAGCAGCGGTAGAAGCAGCCAGTCATCTTACCTGATTTATTCAACGAAAACTCAACATCAGGAAAAAAAAAATCTACAGAAATCCAATTACTGTAATCTTAATATAATCTTAATTACCATAATCTATTTTATTGTAAAGTCAGATAAATGTACAATATAATCACCACTTAAATGCAATTTGCTATATCACATTAAATTTATAGCGAATAGCTCTCTATAACATTCCAGAGATGCACAAAATATCAACAACCCCTGCCTTAAAATTCAACTAATGTTTTACTCAAGTAAAACTATTTTATCAACACAAATTTTTCATTGCTTTCTCAAAATGCTGTTCTGCCATGAATCCCATTCTGGCACTTGCAGCTTTTGTTTCCTTTCATGCTTTTGCAAATTATGGCTCATGGCTATTTAAATGTACACTATTCATTAGGTAGCACTCTAAATGCCCTTTTTATTTTCCAACCACAGGATGAAGCATACACACAAGAGCCTTCCTTCACTACTTTACATTCTACTCTGACATCTGGGTAATGTTGCCATGTTCCATTTCTAATTGTGCTGAAGCTTTTACTAAAGAGGTGGAGGTCTAAATTAGGGCCGACTCTAACAAAGCGGACTCCACTCTCAGCAAGGAACCTGTTGTACACAGAGCCACATTTTGACAGCTGAGAGCAATATTGGGGTGACTGCTTTTTACTCACTGGTCAGCAGAAAGATATGGCTATAAGCACAACCCAAAGGAAACAGCAGGTGAGTGAAAACAAACCCTTCAACAAGCACAAACAGGTGTCTTCTAATCTCTCCTCAAATAGCACCATGGCAATGTTGGATAAACATTAGAATTTCTGTCACTTTGTCTTTCTAGCTCTTATTATCTTGTTTAGGCATTTGTAACTGTATGGTTAATCACTGTCTTTATGGCAGAATTAGAGGAGCTCACCGGATAAATTATTATATATATTATATATACTATTCACACAAGCAGCCGTTACAGGTAGTTCCAGACTTATGATGAACCGACTTATAACCATTTTTTTTCCCCTGCAAACATCTTACCACTAGTAACATGTAAAACATACATATTAAGCTTGTATGTAATGTTTCTAACCCCCAAAGACAAATAAAGATTGCATCTATAAAGATACTGGTAATAAAAAGTAGTAATAATGAAAAATTAAAAATAAAAAAAAATGTTTTCAACTTATGTCAGCACTGACTTTACAAAAGAGTTGTCTGAATGGAACCCTGTCTGAACAGAACTCGGTCTTAAGTCAGGGACTAGCTAACTGTATCGGCTGCTTGCATGAATAGAAAACGATATCTAAATTACCTTCCCATGGCCACCTGATCATTGGGATCCAAGGAACTGGTCTTCCGTTCTATGAGTTCTCGAAGGAGCTAGAGAAGAAAAAGGAAAGTGACTGATTTATTTATCATCTCCCAGCATCAACTGACTTTTAAAAGGGCACAGTAGGGATTCTGAATGGCATGGTGACAGCGCTAAAACTGCAATCAATAAGGGATAACCCAGTGGCAAGAGCATGGCTGAATTCTCATGAACCCTTTCCTATTTATGTATCTTTAAAAAGGTGGCATGGCAATAGCTGAGAACACAAGTCCATTTGGAAGACTTATTGTACTGCAGTTCATTTCAAATGGATCAATGAGTGTGCAACGTTCCCTTCATTGTTTTTATGATTAGTTTTGTCCAGCCCATCAATATCAATGGAGAATCTTTAAAAGGTCAGGTAGGAAGGGTTGTGTGGCAAAAAGGAAAACCCATCAGCTTCTTACCAACAGGATAACGGTACATGGTTAACTTCTGACCTATAACCTCCAGGAGGCAAGAAGGTCTTCCTCAGGCAAAAACCTTTATTGCATGTAATTAAAAGTGTAGCCCTCACCCTCTTGTTTTCTATACCTGGTGCATGCTTACTACTAAGTGATTTGATCATATATGACACTAACACATTCACAGCCACAAAAATGGTAAGAGGCAACCAAAACAAAGTTACATGTGTATACTGCAAATGCAACAGAGAGAGAGGACCAGCCTCTCAATTTATGCAATTAACTCCATACGAACTCTAAATTGCTCTCCTATTCTCCTCTTACTCTGGATGCATGCAATCTAAGTCTAAATCTATACCTTTCACACAGACTGAAGAATCCAATCCTAGGCGCAGAGAAGGCGATGGATTTAAAAGTTAAAAACATTTAAGGAGAAGAATTTTAAATTATAATAGTAAAACTAAATATCAACTCTCCAACACCAGCATTGTATGTAGAGAAATAGCAAAAAAAAAAAAAAAAGATTAAAATTCCAAACATCTTCTGAGAAAAACCTAAGGGAAGATACTACAATAATCTGATCCCTGCTAATCATTTGTCAATAATACAAGTTTGACTTTAAAACTGGTTTCTTTACAAAAAGAAGTCATTATTTTGCCAGTAAACCAAGGTAGCTATACAGATATTTCATCCAGTTAAATAACTGAAGTCAGTGGAGGATGGAGAGGGAGGAATACATTCCTATAAAAATAGTTCACTTTCTAATTCTGATTTGCTTATCTAAGTAGGCACTGGAAGTAGTAACAAATTTGTACATTCACATCCATCAGACGACTCTTTATTGCAAAAGGGAAAAGGATATCTCACTTGCAATTAAAAAACCTCCCATGATGGTTTTTCACTTGCTTATTTTGGACATTATTACCACAGCAATTACATTTAAAAATGTGGGGAGCAGAGGCCACTGGCTTAGTATCACTAGAAAACAGCTAGCTATTTCTCTACCCTGTTTATCTGATTGATTCCCAACATCTTTCTGGCAGTCAATCTACCCGTTTATCTCTCCTACTTCATCACAGTCACTTCTGGCAGCTAAATACAAGATCCAAATCCAGTGTTACACAGACATACGACACAGTAAACCTATGTACCTCTGCTACTCTGTAAACAGCTGCCCTTCAGGCTAAGCAAAAATAAGCTTCTGATTCCTAGTCAATATTCTGTCAAAAGCAAGGTTGTGGGGAGGGATGGCTAATTTAAAAAGAGAAGAAGAGAAGAAAGAAAATAATAAAAAGAAAAATAATAGAATGACTGTAATTTTATTGCCCTTACACCTTATTCCAGATACATTAGAGATTACAACCGCTCCTGGGTTTCCTAATCATCTCTGATCCCTGGAGACTGGGTCAAGTCAGGGCTACTGGGGGCAAGTGCTCATGGAAGGCTGCCCCCACACAACAGGGGTGAGCCTTTGCAAGAGGCACCATATGCCCTTCCCAAAGCCAGAGAACTGGGGTCACACGACTGCAGCAGAGCGATTATATTTGCAGTGGTCCCTGAAATTCAAACACCAAGCTGGTGCATTTACTTTCAAGCAGTCAGTGTGCTTTTCGTATTCTGGGTGGTGTTTTCACCATTTACTAGTTATTCCTGATTAGGAAGGCTGTTTTACTGGTCTGTCTGGCTAAATGTCATCTGTTCAGTTCCATGCTTAGAAGACACTGTTGTGTTCAATGTGGAAATAAGAAAACAACAACAACAACAACAACAACAAATACAATTAAGCAAACTATTGCTGAGGCTACCACTATTTCTCACTGCGATTACTATCATGGGAGTCCTCATGTGGTACTGTAGGGTAAGCACTGAACTGCTAACCTAAAGGTCGGAGGTTCAAATCATTCCTTGGAAACCCTGTACAAGGTAACATAGCTATGAGTTAGAACTGACTCAACAGCTGTTAACAACAATGATCATTATCAGTGGGTTTAAATTTAATTAGAAATACAGTTTTCAAACACAGTTGCTGAAAAGTGAAGCTTCAGGAATACTGAACAGAAGATTTTATTGTGGACAAAGTTTTCCATGAAAATTCAAATTTCCGTTACAGTTATTGTTGTAAAGTGTCGAGTCCGTTCCGACAAACAGCGACCCTGTATAGGGTTTCCGAGGAGCAGCTGGTGAGCTTGAACTGCCAACCTTGTGCTTCAAACTGACTTTGCAGTCCAGCATTATTAACCCACAGTGCAACACCAGGAATCCATTACAGTTATTGGAATGTTTTATTTTGACAAGGACATAATATTTATAATAATTTTCTATGTGATTTGGAAAATGAAGAGATCTATAGAGCATGTCTGTTTTACTCTATTACAATTCTTCCAAATAATTCTGAACTCAGAAAGCTTTAATTGCTTTGCTTCTCTAGTTTAAGGGCAGGGGTGGGGAACCTTTTTTTCCATCAAGGGCCTTCTGGATATTTACAACATCATTTGCAGGACATGCAAAATTATCAACTTAAAAAAAAAAAAAAAAAAAAAAAAGCCTGCTATATTTGGTCAAACAAGGAGCGGCTGGTGAGTTTGAACCACAATCCTTGGGGCTAGCAGTCCAGTGCTTATCATATAGCGCCACACCAGTAGAGCCAAATTATTCATACACGGTCCAATTATATAAAGGCATTTTCACATATGCAAAGAGTCAACAATTTACTTTCCACACATTTGTTGATCGAAAGTTGGCAGAAGATGTGGTACACTAAAATGAGAGCATGTACCAAGAAAGAAAAAGTCATGAGGTTTCAGAAAAGAGGTTTAACAAAGGAAAGAAGCAAAGGCAAGTCCCAGGACTGCAGAAGGGGCAGGCACTGCGAACAGACATTCCTGACAGGAGTGGGATCCACAGAGCTCAAGGAGTGAGATTCCAGAAAAAAGAGGTGGAGGCAGGAGGAAGTGGTACGTTATTTTATATATTCAAGGCATTTGATGCATATGGGAAAAAATAGCAGTGAAAAATTATTTAACAAACAAACAAAACAATGAAGGAAATCTTTCTAAAATCAGCATTATTAACTCCAGTGGGAAAAGTTGCAAGAAAATTCTAATCGTAGTACATTACTCATGAACAACATTTTCTTAGGCATAATAACGTAAAAACTAACTTGTTTTGACAAAACTGCAATGTGAGAACACTAACAGAATGGAGTTATCACCACTCCTCTTTCAGTCTGTCATGTCATGGTGACTTCTGTGTTGCTGTAATACTATAGGCTATGCCACTGGTATTTTAAATACCAGTACGGTGGGCCGATGTGGCGCTGTGGGTTAATGTGCTGGACTGCAAAACTGGTCTGAACTGCAAGGTCAGCAGTTCAAGCTCACCAGACGCTCCTCAGAAACCCTATACAGGGTCATCATGGGTCAGGACTGGCTCAATGGCACTTAACAACAACAACAACATGGTGGGCAGATTTCAGTAGAGCTTCCAGAGTAAGACAGATTAGGAAGAAGTGGTCTGCTTTTGAATGGTTATCCAATGAAAAGCTTGTGAATACAGCTGAACATTGTCAGATCTTGTGCTAGAAGACACGCCCCTCAAGTTGTAAGGCACTCAAAATACAACTGAGGAAGACCTGCCTCCTCAAAGTAGAGTTGACCTTAATGATGTGAATGGAGCAAAGCTTTTGGGACCATTATTTGCTGATGGGGCACAACTCAAAATAAGAAGGAAGAAACCGCTGCAAGTATCCATTAATAATCAAAACATGAAATGTACAAAAAGCATGAATCTACTAGGAAAATAGGAAGTTGTCAAAAATGAAATGGAATGCATAAAGATCATTATCCTAGGCATTAGTGAGCTGAATGGACTGGTATTCACCATTTTAAAGCTGACAAGCATATGGTTTACTATACAGGGAATGACAAATTCAAGAGGAATGGTGTCATACTCATTATCAAAAAGAGCATTTCAAGATCTCTCCTGAAGTACAATGCTGTGTGACAGGATAATATCCATATGCCTACAAGGAAGACAAATTAATACCATTATTACTCAAATTTTTGTACCAACCACTAAAGTCAGTGATGATGAAACTGAAAAATTCTACCAACCTCTTCAGTTCGAAACTACCAGCTGTTCTGCAGAAGAAAGATGAGGCATTCTGATCCTGTAAAGATTTAGAGCCTCAGAAACCCTGTACAGGGTCTCTATGAGGCGGAACTGACTCCACAGCACATAACCACCACCACCATTAATACCTGAGAAGGAACCCTGGTAGTAGAGTGGATTAGGAGTTGAGCTGCTAACCACAAGGTCAACAGTTTGAATCTACCAGTTGCTCCAGGGGAGAAAGATAAGGCTTCCTGCTCTTGGAAACCCTATACAGGGTTGGTATGAGTTGGAAACAACTTGAAAGCACACAACTACCACCACCACCCACCATTACTATCTGATGTTGTTAATATTTTTATTTATTGAGTGTTTGCATTTGTGCTTTGCTTTCATTATATCTTTAATTCTAATCCAATTCTATGAGGCACAATTATCACTATTTTATAGAAGAAGAAACAGTCTCAGAGAGACCAAGGCACTTGTTCAAAATTGCA